ATATATATATACATATGCATGTTGGTGTGGTGTGTGTGTGGTGTGTGTTGTGTGTGTGTGTGTGTGTTGTGTGTGTGTGTGTGTGTGTGTGTGTGTGTGTGTGTGTGTGTGTGTGGTGTTGTGTGTGTGTGTGTGTGTGTATGTATGTAAATGTTGCAGATTGAATTACACCGATGATTTTATGTCATGACATGTGGCGATATTGTGAGATATATTTTTTTTCTAATGAATTCATCACCTTGAAGTTTTTCTTTCTTTCTATTAGGCACTCAAACTGGAATGTATATAAAAAGTATTTTGATGCTTTTTCCATTATGATGTCATGGGGACACCACTATTGTGTCACAGATTAAACCAATGTTAAGAAAGTATCTAATATTCGCGTTTTAAGTATTTTAATGTTTTATTTATTTATTTATTTTGCCTTAGATTGCACGATTAGATATATTTGATAGGCACTCTTTCGCCCACCGTTCTAATACAAAGAGTTCAAACGTACTCGCACTTCCTAGGATTTTTTATATGCTACAGATTCTGTAGCATATCAAATATCGATAATTGTTCTGTAATGCAATATGTTAGAGGTTGCACCACAACTTGACTGGGCTAATATTTATTGGCCTATAAACCACGCACGCACGCACTTAGATGTGACACCTACATAAAATTATGTATTTGAACAGTCGTGCTAGTTGATGATATCAGTGGCTGGCATTCCAATTGGATAAATATATCTTGGTGAAGGTGATTCACGAAACGGTTTGTCAAACACCGCTGTGTTGGGCTTGAAGGACTCTGGAGGCAATGGTGAAGGACGCGCGGCTCAGGCAGAGAGACGTCCCAAAACTTGTGCCGAAGCAGAAACCTTTTCAACTCTTCGCTCGCTTTTGATCAATGCTGCGACGCGGACTGGTTCCAAGCAGTGCAGGAGTTTCAGCATCGTTGATCTCTGTAGCAAAGATTTGCGTTAAAGAAATACTACAGAATGGATGCGGTGAGGGAATCTTTGGGTTGTGAAAAATTGAGATAGGTCTGATGGCCTTGCTGCCAGTTGCCGAAGGCGAGCGTTGTGGGAGGGGTGGGAGGGGGTTAGAGGGTGGCTGCAGAAAGGAAATTAACGATTAATGTTTAAAACGTCGTCGACTCGTCTATTTGAGTTTTACGAAACGACAACTACTTCATCATTCAAGCGACCACTTCCTTCGTCGTCGCATCCTTGTAGTGGCATATCATACCCTTTACCCTACCACCTCTTATTCTGCTCTATCTCCTCACATTTCCCTTTCCTTTTCTTACTCATCTCCACTCCTTCCCACTCTAATATTATCAATGATTATTAAGAGGAAATTCTCCATCTTATGTGGAATGAAGTCATATATAGTAATTATAAGCACGAGAAAGTACTTGTTACCTTTTCTTTGAAATATGTATAAAGCAGTTGACGCAAATATCTGTTTCAGGTGTAATGATTCACGAGGATGGCCGAGGGTCATGCTGAGGACGCACCGCTACTCGGGGGATCCGACTCGGTCTCTCCTGGTGAATGCTCCCCAGACCGGCAACCTGGCATCGCCAGATCAGCAACAGTATGGCCAACAGTCACAAGCGGACAGAGCACAGAGGTCCCTCAGCCATGGCCACCTGACTCTTGGGTACGTGTTCGGGAGCCTCCGTCCCTGGACACCCTGCACGTACCTGCCCAGGGGGAAAGCCCTAAGCTAGTACGATCGCAATCCAGCATGGACAGTGGGTGTGAGTGTGATGGAGCAGACACTGATGGTGGCCCCCCTCATGAGCCCCCCATACCCCATCACCACCACCAGGATTCAGGAGATACCCACGACCCCGCTGGCTTCTCACCCCTATCTCCTTCGCAACCTGGAGGGTCCGGGCCACCCACGCCTGGACCCAGCAGCCAAGTAGTGGTAGTGGTGACCCCCAACACCCATTCTTATTCCCACATCCCAGACACGGATCCGATCCTCCGTCCTGGCTGTGGCAACAACCAAAGCTACGTCTGTGATATCGGCTTGGGCGTCGCAGGATCCACCCGGATGGAGCCCGGCGCCCACACCGACCCCCATACCAAAGTTACCTTCATGATCGAGGACGACGACGACGACGAAGAGGAGGATGACGACGACAATAACTCAGAGAGGTATGCCCATAGTTATTTTGAGAGGGGCCATCGTGCCGTGCGCTCTTCCATAGTTTTATTTATATTGCCGTAGTCTCTTGAGATTTCTCATATATCAGTTCGTTCTTTATGCCCTCAGTTTATTTTGTCAGTTTATCTGTTTGTTTTTACTGGATCTGTTGTTACCTTTTGCCTGGTTCCCATCCGTCCTTGCTCGATTAGTGCCATTTATCCGGGTAGTTTTGTATTTTCCTTCGTGGGGTTTGTTGAATGCATCCATACCAACACAAAACAGCGAAGACAGAATGGAATATAAATCATTGAAATATCAGTCAATCTTCATAGTACAAGGATGAAAACACTGGTAACATGTAAGCATGAGGTACAATAGCTTAGGACAGTATATATTGTGACACGACAAGGTAAATGGTATATGAATAAATGTGTTTATCCACGCACACAGGTACACTCTTTCACAAACACAATCAAATACAACACACACACATAGACACACAGTCACAGTCACACACACTCTCACACACATACAATCGCACGCACACACCAGATCACACACACAGAGACACAATCATACACACGCACAATCAGAATCTCACACACACACACACACACACACACACACACACACACACACACACACACACACACACACACACACACACACACACACACACACACACACACACACACACACACACAACACACAATCACAACACACACAATCAGGCACACACACAATCACAGTTACAGCACACACACACACACACAGTCACACACACACAATCACAGTTACAGTCACACACACACACACACACACACACACACACACACAACACACACAACACACACACACACACACACACACACACTCACTCACTCACTCACTCACTCACTCACTCACTCACTCACTCACTCACTCACTCACTCACTCGCTCACTCAGATAGGTACATACGTTCATAGGTACATGGTACATGGCCCATGGTATGTAGTACATGGTTCAGGGTACTTGGTACATGGTATGTGGTAAATATGTTTATATATGTATATGTTTATATATGGATATATCTCTATATCTCTATCTCTATATCTATCTATCTATCTGTCTATCTATAATGTCAACGTAAGAGGTCGGGGCCGAGAGCAGTTGGATGAAAGAGGACGTGGCTGGAGGGTTCACTGGGGAGGGAAACGTGACCCCACCAGAGGCCCGGGTGCGCAGCGGCGACGAGCGAGACCGTCCGCTGTCCGTTTCTCCTTACTACAAATGTATTTCAGGGTAATTTACATATCACACTGGGTAAAAGATGATTCATGCCAGACAATCTCTGCTGCATTAGGCCTGCCAGACGGCCAAAACGGGCCTAAAAAATTGGGCTGGGTCAAACAATATTGGTACCACCTGAAATATATATTCTTCAACACATCTGAGAGGGTACAGAATGGACAATGCCAGACAAATTACCTGCTGCATTATGCCCACCAGACCCACCCAAAAGTGACCCACCCTCTCTGCTCTGGCAAAATTGATGTAGATGGAACATGAAAGGTACTGAATGAAACTACTTTTGAATGAAAGGGAACATTCCACCAAGTACAAAGTGACCCTTGCCAGACTGCCAGCTACATTAGGCCTGCCAGACACCCAAAAAGGGCCTAAAAATTTGGGCTGGATCAAATATTATTGGTACCGCTTGAAACAAAGTTGATATACTTCGACTCATATCAGAGTACAAAATGGACAATACCAGACAAATTATCTACTGCATTATGCCTGCTAGACACACCCAAAGGTTGGTCCCACCTAGTGCTGACAAAAAAATATTCGTTTGGTACCACTTGAAACAACGTTTAGAGACTAAGAGTGGAATTCCCAAAAGCCGTTTAGCAAAGATAGCATTTGAAAATAAGTTGTCTTTGCCTGTTTACAGATTTGAAGTAATTAAATGAAGGCCCTGAAACTGTTTAATCAGAACTTACTACTCCTGATCACCCTTTATGAATTCGACCCTTAATGTTTAATCCACTGTTGTTTTACAGATAAAGGTAAGATGCAGGCCTACCAATTGTCACTACCATTATTTTCTCAGGAAGTAGTTCTCCCCACAGTCACACAACTTCATAACATTGGCATGATAAGACTGCAATTTGTATATCTCAGGTGATGATAGAGGTCAATCTCTGTATGCTGTCTGAGAAGAATAAAAGAGCTAGACATCAAAGGTCATATACCACTATGGTAAAGGATCGCGGCAAAAAGGGTAAAAATGAGTTGATGCTTAGGATGAAATGTGTTAGATGTTACTAGTAATAGAGCATTGTAGGATAGCATAGTAGTGAATAGGGTAAAGGGGAATAAACGAAGTAAAGCAGAGGTCAGTAAAAGAGGAAAATGTTAAGGCAGACCTGGTCAAACTGCGGCCCGCGGGCCACATCCGACCCTTTGTGCGTCCCTGTCCGGCCCGCGAGAGGCCGATATGATTTATTGAATATGTATATTTATTAAATATATTATTTATTAAATATATAATGAACTAAATATATTATTTAGTGTATTTCACAATGGAAGAAAGTTGAGCAGAATTAAGTTCAGGTTATCGTTGGTGTGGCCCTCTGACACAATTCAGGTTTCTCATGTGGCCCCTTGTAAAAAATAATTGCCCACCCCTGTGTTAAGGGCATAGGGCGACTTGATTAAATGGAGAGTATCTGTGACTGAGGAAGGATGAGGAATATTGTTGAAGGATAACTGACAAAAAAGCCATTATAAATCATTGGGTAATGCAGGTAGAGAAGGCTGTTAGAAAAGTAGGAGAAGAAGCCAGGGAATGAAATAAGGAGACTAGGGAAGGTGGGAACGTATCAGGAAGAATGTGAAAGGGGGAAGGATCCAGAAAAGGACACTTGCGACAGAAGGGATTCACTTGAGCATCCAGGTGGGATTGCTAAGGTTAATGGGGAATGAAAAGGGAATGGTGCACATGAAAAAATATTGGCAAATACTTTGAATATAAACGAAATAGAGATAGAGGGATTGGAGGGGGATGAGGGAGTAGAGCATTGTTTTGGGTCATGTGGTCAGGAAGTTTTGGATGTCTTCAAGAGTTTCTGGAGGAGAGTTGGGTGGGGAGGTCTGTGAAACAAAGGTTCTCTTGTAATGAGAAGAGGTGATAGTTGTCTGAGGATTATAGAAAGAGGAGGGTGAAGGAGAGGATGTGGTTGAAGATGGAGTGGAATGTTAGGGCAGCCATGTTAGGTGCAACAAATAAAGTGGAGATGGTGTAGGCATCAGGGAAGTGGTAAACATTGAAGTATCTGGATTTAGACTGGAAAAGGAATTTGACTGGGGGAGAGGGAGAATAAAGATAGGGTGGTTTGGGACAGAGGGATGAGATACTTGGGGAGATGCTGAGACATCTTGAGAAGATGGAGGGAAGCAGAGCTAAGGATAGATTTAGAATAGGTAGAGATAGAAAAATCTTGTGCTCTCTGTCTAGTTTAAATCTGAGAACTGCTACCTCAGTTTGAAGGCAGTGCAACTCCTATAAAATACATTAATGGAGCCACTACTATTTGCAGAAGTACATGACTGAGCAGAGTAATTTGAAAGGTCATGACCAGTTTGGGTACATAAATAGCTGTGGAGTGACAGTGTTTGGCTGGTTGGCAAAGACGCCAACATTTCTGATATTGTTCCTGTCTGGTTCTCGGGATCTGCTGAACCTAGCGAACTATTTGAGGATGGAGAACTAGCAAGTCAATAGGTTGAGGATGACACTGAGTATGAAGATACTGATGATTCTGGATCTTAGATAGAATGGAGTGATGACTCTGAAAGTACAGATGATTTGTAACTTGTAATATTCTGGAGGTTTTGGCAGCTATCAGTTGAACTGAATGAGTGATGAAACCAATAATTTTGCCAACATCTAGTGTCTGATTAGCTAAAATATACATTATATTAAGTGTCTTACTAACCTGACGCATGGCAAAACAGCTAGATGTCTAATGCACCAGGCAGTATGTACCTTTCATTGGAAAGTTTTATTCAATACCTTTCATGTTTTATATACATCAGTTAACCAAGAGCAGAGAGGGGAGAGGGTCACTTTTGAGCATGTCTGGCAGGCATAATATAGTGGGTAATGTGTCTGGTATAAACCATTCTATACTCTCTCTACTCTCTCAGATGTGTTGAAGTATATAAACTTTGTTTAAGGTGGTACCAATAGTATTTGACCCAGCCAAATTTTTAGGCCCTTTTTAGGCGTCTGGCAGGCCTAATGCAGCTGGCAGTATGTTTGGCAAGAGTCACTTTGTACTTGATGGAATGTTCCCTTTCATTCAAAAGTAGTTTCATTCAGTACCTTTCATGTTCCATCTACATCAATTTTGCCAGAGCAGAGAGGGTGGGTCACTTTTGGGTGGGTCTGGTGGGCATAATGCAGCAGGTAATTTGTCTGGCATTGTCCATTCTGTACCCTCTCAGATGTGTTGAAGAATATATATTTCAGGTGGTACCAATATTGTTTGACCCAGCCCAATTTTTTAGGCCCGTTTTGGCCGTCTGGCAGGCCTAATGCAGCAGAGATTGTCTGGCATGAATCATCTTTTACCCAGTGTGATATGTAAATTACTCTGAAATACATTGTGTGCGGTACCTCTCTATGTTTGATCTAGCTGATTTTTTCCCCCTTCTGCGGGTCCCCAGGGGCCAAATGCAGCAGGGGGTCCCTGGCAAACATCCAGTTCTTCATATGCCCTATTATTCTCTACATGATCCTGTACTCAGCAATTGGTACCACGTTCGTTTGACCAAACCTCCCTTGGCTGCCGGTCTAATCCAACTCTTTCTGCCCTGCTGTCTGACGGGACGTATTATTGTGCAGCTATTCCTTGTGCAATCAATTTGCTTGTTTAGGAAAAAGTGTCAAAGGAGAAAGTACAGTGAAAACCTGTATCCACTGAAAGAGCAAGGCAGCTGCCTGGGCTTAGGTGCGAAAGA